TCCGGAGGCCCGGAGGCTCGTCCGGAGGGGAGGCGAGTGACAGCGACCAATAAAAGGGCGCCGATACATTTCACCCTCATTTTACGATCCGATTAAAACAAGCGCTAAAAAAAAGGGACAACAACCGTTTGACAGCTCGCGCGCCACCCGTAATAAAGAAAGCGACACAATCGGAAGTGATTTATATTGAAAAGAAATAAAAAAACGTTGGCAACGGCAGACGTTCTGACAAGCTCATTGAGTTGTTGCCACACGCCGTCAACGCCCCCGAGAGCGCGTGCCACAGTGTGCCGCATGCTGCCTGCAGTTATACCCCTTTCCGGGTGTGGCGTGTAATTGGACCTCGTTAAAAATTTGAAACGACGGCAGTTTGAACGGGCAGCGAGAGGAGAATAACTGCCCACATTCATTGTACAAAATTTGAACACATTCCCGCATTCTGCAGGCGAAAACTCCTGTAAGTAGACAACAAGAGTCACAAATATAACAGAAATCTTGCACGTTCCAACACATGCCGACATTCTTTGTACACTAAATCTTACAGTGGGTCACCCCTCGACGGGCAGTTTCATCTGACCTAATTTTCTAAAAGAGTTTAACTAAAATACGATAACAGTTTCTTTTGCGCTGTTTGTTTTGAGTTTTTAATAATGCACTGATTCTTCGGTATCAAATATTTTGATTTCTTTGTCTGTGTAGTATATAGTCTCATCTGCTAAAACTATTTCCTTAAGTGCGAAGGCAGGTAGGGCGCGTTACGTGTTATTTAAATGAATCCCTGCTGCGTGCGTGTCGCTACCGCCTCGCTTCCGTTCTCAAATCCCTGTGACCTCTCTCTCTCTCTCTCTCTCTCTCTCTCTCTCTCTCTCTCTCTCTCTCTCTCTCTCTCTCTCTCTCTAATTCCTCTGTCTCTGCTAATTAGTGATCGGGCGCCACGCGTCGATTTAGTGCGCCTTGTTGCCGACCAACACCGCCGTGCACCACACACGCACACATATACACATTCACACAACACACACACACACACACACACACACACACACACACACACGCTGACAGCCCCAATAAAAACTGCCTCTTTATGGAGACGTGGCGCGCGGGGCTTCGTTTGTAGACTGCAAACGAAACGCAAACCGAACCCAAGTTGGAGAAAAGAAATGACGCCTCGACGGGGATTCGAACCGCCGACTCCGCAGACTTCGCGCAGCAGCAGGGGGCTCTCGTGGGAGAACAGCGCGCGTCGCGGACCCGTCTAGCGGTGACAGTGCAGCGGCCCGCTTACAGTGGGCCAAAAGACCGGTGGAGGCGGACAAAACTCTAGACGCGTTTAGAGCTCTCGAGTCGCTGGGACTCGAACCGAACGTGTGACCCCACCAATGGACTGCTCTCCGAACGAGGAATCCACTGGTGGGGTCACACGTTCGGTTCGAGTCCTGTTCAGCGACTCTGGAGCTCAAAACGCGTCTGGAGTTTTGGCCGCCTCCACCGGTCTTCTGGCCCACTGTGCCGCTCCGCGACGTCGCCCGCCAGCGAGGTGTCAAAACAACTTTGTGAATTAAACAATCCCTCCCCCCCCCAAAAAAAAAACAACTTGCGTGAATGTTTTTTCAAATAGGGTCGCTAGTTCAAAGTTGTCTTGGTTCGATTCGGGTGCTGTTTCGATGGCCTGTTCCGGGTTCAGGAATCGAGTGAGATTGATAACTCCACGTTAGGTGTAGATTTGAAGTTCCCCGTAACAGTGCGCCGAAAACGGCGCCGTCCACTAACAGGGAGCTGTCCACTTATTCCGCAACGTTAGCCGATAGCTCTGTCCTTGTTGCTCCTCACGGACTGCGAAGCGAGTGCGAGAGAGACGGCAGACGTTTCGTAATACGTGGACGAAGGAGAAAGAAACACCTCAGCGCCACTGCCGCTGCTTGCGCTGCCAGGCGCTTTCTGCCTAATTCGGTCGTAAATGCCACTTCCAGCGGCGAAACGACGACAGATTCACGTTCACGCGGCGGGCCGTGCCGGGCCGTGCCGCCACTCATTCACATTCGCATTCAACGTTGATTTACGTGTGGCCCACGTGGGCATTGGGATGAATAGGCGGGAGGGGGAGGGGGCGGCCGGTGCCAAAACATGTCCATTCAGTCAATCGCAGCGAGCGTACTGCACTGGGCCCATCCGTCCACCTCGCCAGGGCACAGTGGGCCAGAAGACCAGTGGACGCGGCCAAAACTCTAGACGCGTTTTGAGTACCAGAGTCGCTAAACAGGACTCGAACCGAACGTGTGACCCCACCAATGGATTGCGCCCCGAACGAGGAGTCCGTTGGTGGGGCCACTCGTTCCGTTCAAGTCCCATTTAGCGACGCTGCAGCTCAAAACGCGTCTCGAGTTTGCCGCCTCCACCGGTCTTCTGGCCCACTGTGCAGGGCCGCACTCTCCTTTCGACATCAAGTGGTGCATTCAGTGCATTCCGCGCGGTTCCGCGGCGAAATGAATGAAAATTCGACGCCATTCAGGAACGGACGCTTCCCAACATGTTGGTGTGAATTTAGCACCCCGGCTGCCAGGCTGCCAGGCGCCAGGCCGGACAGACCGAGCGGCCAGCCGCCCCTTCAAACACACTGCAGCCTCATTGCGGACGCGGCTTCGTCGCTCTGTCTCTCTCGCACGAGCGGTGCGTCCAGCAAGGGTGCGAGAGAGACGCAGGGGCGGCCGGTCCGACACGACTCCATTACAAATATTGAATAGAAAGGTTTGGGGTTTGCGTGTTTGGGGGACGTCGTGGGGTGGCGCGGCCGGCGCGGCCAGCGCAGCGCCGAACCGGTCTCCGTGATAAATCTGTTGTCTCTCTCAGCCACCCTTTTTCGCCACCGCCGCCGCCACGGCCCGGCACGGCACGGCACGGCACGGCACGGCACGGCACGGCACGGCCTGCACGTAGTGCTGACCACACCGACGCCCCGCGCCGCGCCCCGCCACGCCCAGACACCACACCTCATCGGCCCGGCCCTCTCTCTCTCTTTCTCTCTCTCTCTCTGCTATTGGAATCAGAGCCCGCACCCCACCGAAAACATCTCCATCCTCGTCCGAACCCCTCGGGGTGGATGGGGGAACCAGGAGCATTTGTGGAAGGAAAGCTTGTACCTCCGAAATGCACGAGCACACCTGTCGGGCATTCCCTGCAGACGGATTCCGAGAGTCGTTTTCATCGCTCTGTCTCTCTCGCACCTAAACAGGAGGCCCCATGAGTGCGAGAGAGGCAGAGCGATGAAAACGACTCTCGGCTTGTTGGGCGTGATGGGCAGCACCCAGGGGGGCACTTGGCGGTCAGAGCGCAGCCAGCAGACTCATTCCGAGAGTCGTTTTCGTCGCTCTGTCTCTCTCGCGCTCATGGCCCGTCCCGTGTAGGAGCGAGAGAGACAGAGCGACGAAGGACGAAAACGACTCTCGGAATGAGTCTGCACCTCCAGCGCGGCGGCCTTTGGCCGAAGGATCAGCGCGCGCAGCCCGCAGGGGGTATCGCGGACCCCCGCAACGTAGCCCCTTCGCGCGGAGTAGCGCCCACCGCGGCGGCGCACGCGTGGTATCGCCAAGTCACTTGGAAGTGAGGCACAGTGGGCCAGAAGACCGGTGGAGGCGGCCACCACTCGAGGCGCGTTTTGACCTCCAGAGTCGCTGAATGGGACTCGAACCGAACGTGTTCTTGTAGCATGTCATTCACTCGTTCATGGGGATGAGTCAAAGCAGGTAAGTAAGAATTCCAACCTCACAAAAGGAAACACGATTGACAAGACTAGAAATAAACTTTATTATTATGAATTAAAGAATTCTTACCTCACTAAAGGAAACACGATTGACAAGACGAGAAATAAAATTTATTATTATGAATTAAAGAATTCCAACCTCACTAAAGGAAACACATTTGACAAAACTAGAAATAAAATTTATTATCAATTTTTAAAATAACCCAACAAATTATTTTTCCGATTAAGAATAAAATCCTCCTTGCAGATTGTACTGTTTTATTTACACTTATATCACTATATCACTAACAGTGCAATTCGGGGGAAAAGTTGGGGGCAAAAGCGAGGACAGACATCAAGCAGGACAGAGTATACAGGGTGAAGAGAATTCGCTGACAACCAAGTGGCAAATGCGAGGACGTACATCAATAAAGGCAGAATATCATCAATAAAGGCAGAATATCACAGGGTGAAGGGAATTCGCTGCCAATCAAGTGGCAAATGCGAGGACGTACATCAATAAAGGCAGGATATCACAGGGTGAAGGGAATCCGCTGCCAATCAAGCGGAGTCCGCGCACTGGCGGGCCACCTCCCTGACCCAGGAGGGCTCCCTGCGGACGCGCCTGCCCGCGATGGTGCCGTGGCGGGACAGCTCGATGCAGGCGCGGTAGCGGTCGGCCTCCTCGTCCAGGGCGTCGATGCGGTGCCGCAGCGCCTCCACGTCAAACGAGTCGTCGGGGTTGGCGGGGCGCGCGCGCACCCCCGGCCACCGCCCCGTGCGCACGAACACGTCCACGTCGTCGGCCGTGCGCCCGTGCACGTCCACCACGTCGGGGGCCTCGGTGGTCGTGGTGTCCGCCTCGATGACGGTGTCGTCGATCTGGGACCACGTCACGTCGGCGAGGTCGTAGACGGTGCCGTTGAGGGACCGGCGGCGGCAGCGCGAGGACGACGCGGGGCCCCGCAGGCCGGGCGGCAGCTCCAGGCGGCGCGGGGACACCGCGGGGGCGGGGGCGGCCACGCCCAGGACGGCCGCCGAGGCCGACGGCAAGCTGGCGGACGCCGTCGAGGCCGGCGTCGTGGCGGCCTGGCGTGGCTGCCTGGCGGCCGTCGCCGACCTCGCCGCCGGAGCAGCAGCACGCCGAGAGGAAGGCGGAGGCACCGACGTGGGCCTCGGCGTCGCAGCCCTCCTCGCCGGCGCGGCGTGCTTCGCGAGCGGGACCTTGCTCGGCGGCGGCATCCTCGCGGCGTCCGGGACTCGGGTCGCCGTCGACGGCGGCGCGGGGGCGCTCCTCTTGTTGTCCGGGACCCTCGCGGACGTCGGCGGCGGCATGATCCTCTTGGCGGGGGCCGAGGCGGGGGCGGCCCTAGTCGCAGAGCGAGGCGCAGAGGCTGCTGCGGTGGTTGACCTGGTCGCGGCGGTGGCGGTCGGGGCCCTCGGGGTCTGCTTCACCACGACCCGCGGCGCCTGGAGGCGAGATGGCTGGCTCTGAGACATGGTACTGCACAGACACAAACAAACACACTGTAAACAAAACGGTTTTGACAAAATGGCTCATGGGTTCGGAGACTTTGGGGCCATGCCACAGTGTTGCGTCGCTCCGTTTCCCTTGCACCCTTCCGGAACGCATCCGCATCATGAGTGCGACAGAGACAGAGCGACGGCGGGTAGTTGGCGAGGTTCTCGGGCTTGGATAACACCTGGATAACAGTGCACCTACCTCGCGGGATCAACAATCCGCTGCGGTGACGGTGGACCAACCGGACTGACAGCTGCGGCGGCCGCGGCTCGTTCTAGACTGGGCAGCAGCTGGACAGCTCGGTGACTGTGACGGCGATGAACCAGCCGATTCAACAGTGCAGTGACGAACTTCTTGAAATGGCAACGAACTCGACGACAAGCTAGTGGAGCAGCAGCTAGCAGCTCAACAGTTGACTGATTTGGACCGAGTGCGGCGCGGTGCGGCGGCGAGGACGAGGCGAGTGCGGTGTTGTTGTTGTTGTTGTTGTTGTTGTTGTTTGTCTTCTCTCTCGCTCTAGTCGGCTCTAGCTCACTCTGCTGGCGTCGTCTGGAAGTTGATTGGCGTTAGGTACAGTTAGGTACAGTCAGGGTAGAGTCCTAAAAGCCCTTTAGGGCCTTTAGGACTCTAAGTCAGGGTACAGAATGACTTGGAACCTGTGAGTGGGAGAGAGAGGAATAGTCTCTTCTTGCGGCAGTTCGACGATAACGACGATAACTCCGCAGCAGTCCACCCCGGGGCTGTTTTTCGGGAGTATGCACGCACAGACGGTCTCTCCAGCAGGCGGTATGGGCTGGGCTGGATCGCGTACGGCGGCGACCGTGACCGTTGGGTCTTTTTTAAACTCTGCGCAGTTGGCGGGAAAACTTATTTGCACTCCGCTGACGGCTATTTGCAGGACGAATGAGAAGGGTAGAAATAGAAAACATGGCCGCCTGACAGGACTCGTCGTCCGCTACTTTGAATCACTTATTTGACGTTTGAGTCCGAACAATTAGATTTACTCCTTCCTCGCTGCGTTGGAAACATTTCCAAAATGCGGAGTGTGTTAATGGTGGCTGAAAAGCCATCTCTCGCGAGTTCACTAGCTCATATCTTGAGCAATGGACATTGTTCGAGCAGAAAAGGTTGGTTGCTGAGCCGGTTTTCTTATTTTTAGAGAAATTTTATAATTTGTTTGAACATTTTAGAAGTTTGCTTTGTTTTGAACACACGCGATAACTCGCCTCTCGTTTTTCAAGTTGAATATGCTTCACCGGTACATGTAGAGAGGAGAGGTTAAATGTTGCTGCATTTGCATTGTTTATTTGTTACACATTCCTCTTAGTTGTTAAACATTAAGTCTAAATTTATTTATAAATACTTAATAATAGTATGAAACAAATTTCCTTCTTTTTTCCCCACCAAATATGCTTATTTTGGTATACATTCTTTTCAGCTTTAAATGGCGCATGCTCTGTACACGAATGGCAAGGTAATTTCCGCCAAGAGCAAGTTACCTTCAAGATGACATCAGTGTGCGGCCATGTAATGTCTCTTGATTTCATAAGCAAGTTCAACAATTGGGATCGAGTCGACCCGGTAAGTTTGACATCTGTCTTTGTGAACAATTTACTGTCACCAGAGGACTTCCGCAATATAATTTGAATGTTCTTCAACTCCAGGTTGAGCTATTTACATGCACAACAGAAAAGAAAGAAGCCACTCCAAAATTGCGCATGAACCACACTCTGGCTCAAGAAGCCCGGGGTTGTGATTTTCTAGTACTGTGGCTTGACTGTGATAAAGAGGGAGAAAACATTTGCTTTGAGGTCATTAATGCTGTGGAAGGATTTCTTCGCAGAAGTGTGACTGTTCCTGATGTGAGTTTGTTTTCTTTCTTTTTTTAAATAGTTTAATTGTGAAAGTTTAGCAAGGTCTTTGGTATTATATTTTCCTCATATTCCTTGTCTGCCTGTTTCAGGTGGTTTGGCGAGCTCACTTTTCTGCGATTACTGATAAAGATATTAAGGAGGCAATGGCAAATCTTGGCAAACCGAATGAAAATGAAGCTCGCTCCGTAGATGCAAGACAGGAGCTGGATCTTCGTATTGGCTGTGCTTTTACTCGTTACCAAACTAAATTCTTCCAGGGGAAGTATGGAGACCTGGACGCATCTTTAATTTCTTATGGCCCTTGTCAAACTCCCACTTTGGGTTTCTGTGTACAAAGGCACGATGAAATCCAGACATTCAAACCTGAGCCTTACTGGGTTCTTCAGGTAATTTCGTAGTTTTTTTCTTCTTTTGTTGATTCTCATCTCCTCTCTTGGTTTTAATTCTGGTACCTCTCCCTGACATTATAGGTGGTTGTGAAAACAAGTGAAGGAAGAGAAGTAAGTCTTGAATGGGATCGAGTCCGATGTTTTGAAAAGGAAATTGCCCAAATGTTCCTTATGCAGGCCAAGGAATTTAAAGAAACATTGTAAGTGTTTTTATATGATCTCAAAGTGCTGCTTACTGTGCATTAGACTCAAGTGAGATGTTTTTTCTGACACCAATGTTTTTCAGTTGCTCCAAAGTGTCCGTCAAGGAAAAGGCGAAACAACGTCCCCAAGCTCTGAATACTGTTGAACTAATGAGGGTAGCGAGTTCTGGACTTGGCATGGGCCCTCACCATGCAATGCAAATTGCAGAGCGCCTTTACACACAGGGCTACATTTCATACCCTCGTACTGAAACTACACATTATCCTGAAAATTTTGACCTTATGTGAGTGAGAGTACTACTAACAAAACTTTTAGAAACAATTATTGATAATATTTTGATGTGTGATTGATCCAACCATTTACTTGACCCTCTAGTGGTACGTTGAAACAGCAGCAGAGCAGCAGCGAGTGGGGAGCAGAGGTGAGAGAACTGCTTGCAAAAGGCATCAATAAGCCTCGCAAAGGAACAGATGTGGGAGACCACCCCCCCATCACACCAATGCGATCTGCCTCCCAATCTGAGTTAGATGGTGATGCCTGGCGCCTCTATGACTACATAACAAGACATTTCATTGGAACTGTGAGTGTTATTGGTTTTCTTATCTCATCGAGAATTCCTCCAGGTGTCTCATTTTGATCTTGAACTAATTTACTTTGGTTGTGACAGCTTTCACAAGACTGCAAGTATCTAAGCACAACGGCAACCTTTGATATGGGTAGCGAGTCATTTTCTTGCACTGGGAAGACTCTTTTAGATCCCGGCTACACTGTGGTCATGCATTGGCAGGCTCTTGGAAAGAATGAAACTGTTCCTAACTTTGTTGAAGGGCAAATTTATGAAGTACAAGACGTAAGTATTTCAGCTAAGTTTCTGGTAAATTAAGTCCTTGAGCTTGATGCCAAACTGATTTACCTAAATCCAATTTCTGTGCAGGCTAGATTAGCTGAGTGCCAGACCTCGCCCCCTGACCATTTGACTGAATCCGAGCTCATTACTCTGATGGAGAAACACGGCATTGGCACAGATGCCTCCATCCCTGTCCACATTAACAACATCTGTGTGAGGAACTATGTCAGTTTAGGATCAGGGCGGCGCCTCATTCCAACCACTCTGGGGACTGTCTTAGTTCATGGTTATCAAAAGGTAACTTTTGTTTCGAACTGTGCCATGCTTGTTGGTGGGCTTATTTTGCGTTTACCAGCTTGAATTGTTTTCAGATTGACCCAGAACTTGTGCTGCCGACTATGCGGTCTGCTGTAGAAGAACAACTTAATTTGATTGCAGCAGGGCGTGCAGACTTTAACGCTGTTCTTCATCATACCACTGAAATTTTCAAACTTAAGTTTCAATACTTTGTCAAGAATATTGAGGGAATGGACAATCTATTTGAGGTCTCCTTCTCTCCCATAGCAACGACTGGTAAAGCACATTCAAGGCAAGTAGAACTATTGTTTTAAATTGAGTTGTGTCGAGTGTTCCTATCCATTTGTCTTTTGAAAGACATTATCATTATTACTATTATTATTATTTTCTTTAGGTGTGGGAAGTGCCGCCGTTACATGAAATATATTCAAACAAAACCTTCTCGTCTCCACTGTGCCCACTGTGATGAAACCTTAAATTTGCCTCAAAATGGAAACATTCGAATTTACAAGGAACTGCGGTGTCCTCTGGATGACTTTGAACTTTTGTCATGGTCTGCCGGCAACAAAGGCCGTTCATACCCTTTCTGCCCATACTGTTATAACAATGCACCATTCCGAGACATGAAGAAAGGTATATAGAATGCTATGTTAAAAATGATGACCAAGATTGAAACATTTTGGTCATCATTTTTACAAAAACCTCTCTATTCCACTGAAATAGTTGTGATCATTTTCTTATTCCAATCCATTTGATATTGTTTTTCTCTTGTGTTTTGAAAGGCATGGGTTGCAATAGTTGTACCCATCCAAACTGCTCTCAAGGAATGTATAGCCTAGGAGTATCTACATGCAGTGAGTGTGACGGAGTGATGGTTCTGGACCCATCATCCGCTCCCAAGTGGAAACTAGGCTGCAACAAGTAACTATTCTTTTTTTATTTCAAATTGTGATGTATGTACTTTGTTATTTTTAATGCAAAACCGTATGTGCCCTCTGCGTTGTAGGTGTGATATCATTGTCCACATTTTTGAAGATGCTCACAAGATCACTGTGGAGGAAGCAACTTGCGATTGTGGAGCTCAACTGGTTAAAGTTGAATATCGTGAGGTAAGTGTTCACTGAAATGGTGAGGCTTTTTTAATCATTGATACGAGCATGTTTTAACCATTTAATAACTTTGACTACAGGATAGAAGCAGATTGCCCAAGGAAGCCACGGAATCCACTGGATGCCTCTTCTGCTTTGTTGACTTCATTCCTTTGGTAGAAAAGCATCGTGCCATTACCAGAACAGTAAGCAACAGAGCTCCTCGTGGTAGAGGCGGAGGGGGAGGGGGAGGCCGTGGGCGCTCCAAGGGCAAAGCTCGGCCCCCTAAAGACAAAATGGCCCAACTAGCTGCATATTTTGTCTAATGTGTGTGGTGTGTGTGCTCTTATAAATTTATAGCTGATTTCAATGACTGGTATTCAAATGACTTTGTGTCTGCACCTGGTTTGGCTAGGTTCAGGATTACAATGGGAACATCAGTAGTGTTTAGATACCTTTTGTGGAACTTTTTTGACTTTTTATGAACCATTGTTCTTGAATGTTAGAATACATAATATATCTTGTGTATCTTGTTTTTTCTAATTTTGATATTGTTTGTTTGATTGTGACCTATTTATTTATTTATGGATAAATTTTGTTATGTAGATATATACTACATGAATCCTTGAGATAAGCACTTGGTCCGAACTCTGCATTATGGAGTTGCCCTGCTATGTGCTATGTGAGTGCAATGTAATCCAACCAATGTTTAGTTTTGTTTTACAATATTATATTTTGGTGTTAATTGGCACCTCTGGTCGGTTAGACTACAGTGTGCAACAAATTTTATTTCTGTGAAGATGCGCCTCGCGACCCACCGGAAGGGTCTCTTGTACCTTCATCTTGGAGGAAAAATGTTCTTCAATAATAATCATACAACACCTTATGGATCAATTTTGTCTTTTATTAACTGCACATACAGATGTCAACACTGAAGAAATCTGTCATACATAGTGGTTGTGTCAGGCTTTGCTCTCCCCATTCTTGTGTTGTAACAACTTTCAACATAGTTGATAGGTAGGTTGTATTCAATTTCTGTTAATGCCCTATTTTACATGAACAATCTTTCAGTTTGCAATGTATAACCTGATTTTTTTGGACTGTTTCTTTCTCTCCTTTAGAGTGATACTAACAGAGATCTAAATCTTTCCTTAATCTGCTCAATGAAATAATTTTTTGAGTGCCATTTAAAATTAAATTGAGCTTGTTCATTGAAAAGAAAATGATTTGATAGCTAGTCACGGAATTTTGTATGATGAACTCCTTAGGGTAAACTTTAAAGTAAACGTATCTTCAGATATGTGCTTGGATAATTGTAACACCAATTAAAGAAATGAAGATGAATTATACTAAGCTTTGATGTGAAATTTGATTGGAAAAACAGTTGTATTCTGATATGTAGGTTTTAGAGGTGTGGTTTTCAGTGGTTCACTAATATATGGAATGCAATGTGTTATAGTAATTACGTACCAATTTTCTGTTCATAACAAACAGACAATATTTAAGGAAAGTTCTATCTTCATTTCTGAAGTGCATTAACTTACTGCATAAATCATGCCATGCATTTGCAGAGTCATTTTGAACAAATGATATATAACAAACAGGCTAGCATTTTTCAAAACTTTTCAGGACTCATACTGTTTTAGGACTCATAGAAATACAGTGAATTGAAGGTTTTGTCTATTTTCAACAAAGTGTTTCAAAAGCTTAATTGTTTCTCCCTTGCCTTGTTTTGCACACTGTGCCAAACTGTTTCTTGTTTACTCATCTTCATGGTCCCACTAAGATAGTCTTCTTTGCATAAAATAGACAAGTACTATTCCACCCTTCTTATGCGTTTTGTTACCTCATGGTATATCTTATCTTTTGAAAGTAAAGACAAGACAGCAACCTCATTTGTACAAGGTTCCTCTGCAAATGCCTATCTTTCCTTGTATGTTGTAAGACAAATTTGTAATAAGTACAAATCTTTTAAAGAATGGCTGGTTCCTTGCCGCCTGCAGCCTGCATCTAGGACACACTCAAAACCACTACTATGTAGTTTTGCAATCTTTTCAACATCTTCCAATATTCTAGAAATTGATCTGATATCAATGTAAGTGTCCAAGATCTCTTTAATATAAATATTTCAATTTTTTTAAGACGAAGATTTTTCAATAGAAACATCAATACACTTAATTATTTACAAGAACAATAAGATTTGTCACCTATATAAGAATGCTTAATTATCACTTGTCATGAAGATAAAGTCAAATTTCAAATACAGTTCTAGATGAAGTAACAGAAAATTGAAAAGTAATCCCTGGACATGGCATATTTTAGTAAAATAATACTGTTCCATGGTTCTTTACATTCAGGTAAAATGCCATAAAACATTCAAATTAAGGTCCATTTAGGACAAAAAATAATGAATTGCTAAAATCCTTTCCAACGAACGTGGCAGACATCCAGGGAATACGATTCATAAACATTTATTAATGTATTATATTATGTACCTCTCATTTACATGGAACAATATCACACACTATTCTTTCTTACAGCTCATGGAGCCTTTGTTTGTTTTGTTTTTTTACCAAGGCAATGGAAATAAGAGGGATAGAAAAGTAATTAATACTTGGTGGTGCTTTTCAGAAAGTAATTTATCATCACAGAAAGCCTTTGTTTGTTTCTGGAAAAGACTCAACATCCAGTTGTGCTTTTTAATGCCCAAAGAAACTGGTCAGAATGAGCCAAAAGCTGGAAGACATTGTTTCAGCAACAACTCTAAATCAATGGCGAGCAATTCCTCCACTCAATGTATTCTGGCCAAGTTTCTTTGGAAAACTTCCTTAGTAACTTACAACCCTTTCTTAAAGTTTTATTCTATCTTAGTAACACAGAGTAAAAGGATAACTTCAATATCAACACACACGTTTAACAACATTAACAATCAAAACTCTACAGGTAATATTAAATTATTTTATGTACATATATCATCAATTTGGCCAATCTTTTCTCTTGGCACCTTTCTAAAATACAGGATGAGTAAAAATTCATGCACTCATCTTTATCTGACGTCAAATCTCACAAGATTTGGATTATGCTTACTGATATACCCGACTTCTACCCAGTCCAAACAGGATAAAGTAAAGTTCAGGAAGCCTGATGTATTTAGGCCACTTCCACTGGCACATTCTATCTAACTCTACGCCCATCACAAAAATTGATTAACTAACAAGGAATGTCTTTCATATTTTGATGTTAACAATTTTACTCTTTAAAATAGCAACAACAACAACAACCAAATAAATGCCACCACCATTGCCAGAAGGTTCTCTTCTATTTTTTAATACTTTTTAAAATGAGAAAAATTTAAGATTTAAAGCAATGCATTTACTTAATCTGAAGGTAAAAACAACTAACTGTCACAATGTTCTAAAATTTGGGTTAGTTTATGATATATAAGAGCGCATTCATACCAAGTTCTTCCAATAATAGTTTATTTATTTATCCTCCACAAAAAATATTGTGCATCCTCACAAAATCATGAGGAAACAGACAGGGGGTATGTTTCCCCAAGACTTCAGCACTTAAAGCAATCAAAAAGTTATTGGAAGTCTAAGGTATGAACGAGGGAATTCTCTATATCAGAGGCAAAAATATAATTTAAGTCTCGGAAAATGTTTGGAATACTATCCGAAACAAACATGCCAGCCTTTAAAACCCTAAATAGTCCACAGACAACACCCAGTACAAGATGAGAGAGGAAAGGTGTCTGTCTTATTGTCGTTAATTCACAATTTGTTGCATCCACAACCTTCTCATACGTTCTATTTTTCTCGAGTGAAGTACTTAAAGCTTCAATTAGAACACAAAGGGTCAAAAAACACCAAGAATTATTCTAACTTGGCATCATATTTTGGTCACTCACAAGAGAAGATGTGCTAGTTTGTATCTCTGTACATTAAGGCTGGCTCTGCACATTCTCATTGTCATTAAACAAACAACCATAGATTTAAGTTTATTTTTCCTACGATGTCTCGGCAGATTGCAGTCATGATAGGAAAACATATTACGATAAGGTTCTTAAAATGTTCACCAGAACATGGGCTGATACTAATGGTGCCACAGCCGCCCTCATCAAGACCAACAAAATACAGATGTATAATGTCACTCTTTTATGTGTCTTGCAAACACTCAGAGTTGACCAGGGAAATGGTTTTGTAACAATGCACATTGCTATCAAGCGCGGATCCAGAGGGGGGCAAAAGGACGATTGCCCCTCCCTTGACCCCTAGATAGCCGCCTGAAAGGTAGGCAAAAAGCAACACTTTGCCCCTGTGCGTAGGCAAAGCGTGCTACTTTGACCCCCCCCCCCTCTCCCTCAGGCCGTTTCTGGATCCGCCACTGATTGCCAGGTATGTGATGGAATGTCCTCTCCAAGGACATCCCCACCCCCCTGCTGGCCGTGCTGGCCGTGCTCGAGGGCGTCTAGATGGTCCACACCTGCACCTTCTCGGCCACCACGCACCAGTTGGTGTGGTCGTAGTAGGACGAGATGATGTGGAGGTTCTCGACGTAGCGCTCGATGAGCTGGTCCAGCTCGCCCTCCCTGAAGACGTGGTAGTAGCGGTGGTAGGTGATGGCGCCGCCGCCGTTGTCGGAGGGCAGCGAGTCCTGCGACGTGGAGCCGGACAGGGAGGTGGTGCAGGACTCGGTCTTGGTGACGCACAGCCCGCCGGCCATGCCTGCGTGCATGCCCTCGCCCTGCTCGGCCTTCTGGCGGACGAGCGGGCCGGGCCGCCCGGGCGTCTCCTCGGAGCTGGAGCGGCCGTCGCAGCGCGCCGTGCGCCGGTCGGCGAAGCGCACGTCGCGGCTGCAGTCCGAGGCCGCGTCGCACACGTCGGACTCCATGGCGCTGCCCAGCGACGCCGAGCTGGCCGTCTTGCCGTGGCTGGCCGAGCTGGTGTAGCTCGTGTAGCTGGTGTAGCTCGTGTAGCTCGTGTCGCGGCGGCTGTCCGTGCCGCTCACGCTGCCCGTGCCCGTCCGCTCCGAGAAGTCGCCGCCGTCGCTGGACTCCACGGAGCAGCCCGGCCGCAGCGGCGTGGCCAGGCCCGGCCTGGCGTCGTCGGCGTCGGCGGCCGGCGCCACCAGGGCGAGGCCCGGCGCCACACCGCGCACCACGGGCTGCGGCGGCAGCGGCGCCGCCACGCTCGCCTCCGCGTCCGAGGCCTCGCTGGCCAGCTCGCTGTGCGGCGCCGAGTCGCCGTCCGTGCTGCGCGTCGAGCGGATGGAGCTGCTCAGGCTCGACACCCCCGTCAGCGCCTCCGACGAGTCCACGCTGCGGAGGCTGGGCAGCGACGCGTTCTTGGTGAGCCGCGACAGCAGCTCGCACGACGAGTCCACGTTCTTGGCCAGGCTCGCCAGCACCTGCGCAGCCCAAGTCAGGTAAGTCACTGCGAGTCTTTAGCGCGGCCCCGCCGAATCGAACGAGGGACCCCATCAATGGATTGCTCTCCGAACGAGGAATCCATTGGTGGGGTCACACGTTCGGTTCGAGTCCTGCTTAGCGACTCTGGAGCTCAAAACGCGTCGAGAGTTTTGGCCGCCTCCGCCGGTCTTCTGGCCCACTGGGCGTCGGCGGGGAGTCGCTGCAACGCACCTTGTCGAAGGGCCCCGGCGCGCTCGGCCGCTCCCGCAGCTCGAGGCTGAGCTTGCTCAGGCCCTGCAGCTCCTCGCCCAGGCGCGCCAGGTCGCGGACGGCGCCGTCCTCGCGGTAGCGCTCGATCTCCTCCAGGAGGCGCTCGCTCAGCTGCTCGGCGAAGCCCGCCAGGTGCTGGCGCACGCCCTCGTCCCAGCAGTCCTCCTCCAGCGGCGACCCCAGCCCCGCGCTGCCGTCCGCGACCTGGCCGTCGCGCGGCGACAGCACCAGCGGCGGCACGCTGCGCCCCAGCTTGGAGGGGCTGTGGTCCGCGCTCTTGGGCGCCACCGGGGACTGCAGCTGGCCGGCCTGCGACGCCTGCGGACAGCCAGTGTTGTCACCTCACGTTGAAAGGGTTGCACAGTGGGCCAGAAGACCGGTGGAGGCGGCCAAAATCCCGGACGGGTTTTGAGCTCCAGAGTCGCTAAATGGGACTCGAACCGAACGTGTGACCACACCAATGGATTGCTCTCCGAACGAGGAATCCATTGGTGGGGTCACACGCTCGCTTCGAGTCCTGTTGAGCTACTCTAGCTCAAAACGCGTCTAGAGTTTTGGCCATCTGCGCCAGTCTTCCGGCCCACTGTGGGACGTCGCCGTGTCGCCGTCGCGGTGCTCACATGCAGGCCGAAGGGGTCCGGCGTCTCCGGGATGGCGGTGAGGGTGAGCGCCGAGCCGTCCGCGCTGCCCGTCGCCTCGGGCTCGTGGATCTTGGTGCTGAGGAGGCCGAAGTCCTTGGGGATGGCGCCCAGGCTGGTGTAGTCCGCGCGACCCATGGCCTCGGGCTCGTTGGTCTTGGTGCTGAGGAGGCCGAAGTCCTTGGGGATGGCACCCAGGCTGGTGTAGTCGGCGCGGTCCATGGCCTCGTACAGGCGGCCGGCGGAGTCGGCGCGGCGCCCGGCGCGAACGCTGTCCGCCTGCAAGCACCATGTTGTCGAACCCTGGCCGAACGGTTTCATCTGGACGATGCACAGCGGGCCAGAAGACCGGTGGAGGCGGACAGAACTCTAGACGCATTTTGAGCTACAGAGTCGCTAAACAGGCCTCGAACCGAACGTATGACCCCACCAATGGATTCCTCGTTCAAAGAGCAATCGATTGGTGGGGTCACACGTTCGGTTCGAGTCCCATTTAGCGACTCTGGAGCTCAAAACGCGTCTAGAGTTTTGTCCGCCTCCGCCGGTCTTCTGGCCCACTGTGCGACGACTTGCCTTGGAAGGGCTGCTGGTCTGGGGGAACCGGAAGACGGTGCCCTCCGTGCGGCTGGCCAGGCTGGCCGCCCCCAGGCTGCCCGGCAGCGAGAACCTGCTGACGGACTCCTTGATGCGCGACTTGCTCCTCATGTTGGAGGGGTTCGGGGAGTTGTCGGGGCTCAGCTGCAGACTCCAGCTCGACCTGCAGACGACCAGTGGTGCCACCGTTCACTTAAAATACAATAAGCGTCAAGTCCACTGCGTGGGTCCCGGACACCCACCTGGCCACGTCGTCCTCCAGCGCCACCCTGAGGTCGGCGGCGTCCAGCGTGACCTGCTTGCGCCGGGCCCTGGGGCTGGCCTTGATGACGGCCTCCACGGCGTCCTCCAGGCTGCTGGCCACGTCGGCGGCGGCCTCCAGGAGGCTGAGCGAGGCGGGGGTGGAGGTGGAGTGCTGCGGCTGGAGGCGGGCGGCGGCGGGGGACTGGCTGCGCGGGGGCGGCGGGGGCGGGTCCAGCAGGCGCTCGGGGGCGGGGGACGGCGTGCGCGAGACGGACCGCGACACCGACCCGTCCGCGTCGGCGGCGTCCGCAGCCAGCGTCGCGCCGCCCGCCTTGCCGCCGTCCGCCGAGGTCTTGGTGAGCGCCACGCTGATGACGCTGTCCACGCTGTCCGGCGACGACACGCCGCTCGAGTCCGAGTCCACGTCGTCCGTCTCGGGGTTGAACAGCTCCAGGGACATGAGGCGCGGCGCGGCGCGCGTGGGGGCGGGCCGGGGCAGGCTGCCCGACGACCGCCGCACCAGCGGGAACATGCCGCGGCCCGCCCCCGGGCTTCCCGCTGGGGAAAGAAACAGGGCGCATTCACTACACTGTGGAATCGAACGTGTGACCCCACCAATGGATTGCTCTCCGAACGAGGAATCCATTGGTGGGGTCACACGTTCGGTTCGAGTCCCATTTAGCGGCTCTGGAGCTCAAAACGCGTCTAGAGTTTCGGCCGCCTCCACTGCTCTTCTGGCCCACTGTGCGTTAGAGTGCTCTGGCAACCAAACCCAGACAGGCGTCGCTCTGAATGGACTCACCGCTCTTCTGCCGGAGCATCTCCTTGATCTGCTGCAGGCGGCCGTCGTGGTCCTTGGCGAGGTGGCCGGCGCCGAGGCCGGGCAGCGCGGGCAGCACGGGCAGCGGCACCGGGTCCACGCCGCCCGCCACGCTGAGCACCGGCACGGGCATCATGAGCGGGCCGAGGCGCGGCGAGCTGGGCAGCTGCGGCGGCGAGGGCGAGTGCTGCCCGGAGTACAGCAGCACCTTGGGCGAGCTGGGCAGGGAGCCGGGCATGGAGCTGGGCTGCGGCGAGGCCGGCGCCGACGTGCACAGTGTGGGCGACGGCGTCTTGGGGCCCAGCGGGTCGCTCATGAACTGGTCGGCCTTGGGCACGTAGATGACCGACGCGAAGCTGTCCTCCGAGTCGACGCTCGTGTCGCTCTGCAGGCTGGAGTCCTTGGACGAGTCCGAGCCGTCCTCCCTGGAGTGGCGCCGCTCCCCGCCGGAGCCCGAGCCCGACGAGCAGCTCCTGCCGCGCATGTCCCTCATGTCCTCGGCGCCGTTGATGCTGCCGCTGGAGGGCCGCTTCAGGCCGTACATGTCTGGCGGCGGCGTGGACGGCGTCAGCGACCCGCTGGGCGTGGTGCAGCTGGCCTGCCGCGACGGCGAGGGGGACTGAAAACGAGTTACAAGTCCTCATTTTGAGACTGTCGGGTTTCAACGCTGGTTTCTGATAGGCGACACATTATGGGTCTGAAGACCGACGGAGGCGGCCGAAACTCTTGACACGATTTGAGCTCCAGAGTCGCTAAATGGGATTCGAACCGAACGTATGACCCCACCAATGGATTCCTCGTTCGAAGAGCAATCCATTGGTGGGGTCACTCGCTCGTTTCGAGCCCCATTTAGCGACTCCGGGGCTCAAAACGCGTCTGGAATTTTGTCCGCCTCCACCGGTCTTCTGGCCCACTGTGCGGCACTCACGGTGTGGGGCGACGGTTCCCCGGCCTGCTTCCAGCCCTGCAGCATCCGCACGAAGCCGTTCTTCAGCGAGGTCCCGGCCACCTTCTCTATGTTGGTCGTTGAGCTCTTGAGCTTGCTAGTCAGTCCGATCTTGAGCAGCTGGAACCGCTTGGCAGTGGACGCGGAGAAGAGCGTGTCCCGGAGGGAGTCCAGTGTGCCGGGCGGCGGCGCGCCGGGCCTGTACATGAGCTCCTCGTTGAGCGACGCCTGCTTCTGGATGTTCTGTCTCACTCGCTCCTTCTCGCGCAGCCGCTCCGTGGACATGAGCTCCTCGTTCATGGAGCTCTGCTTGAACACGTTGAGGCGCGGCGAGCGGCCGAGCAGGTGGCCGTGGCCGAGGAGGGCGCCGTGGCCGTGGTGGCCGCCCTGCAGGCCGTGCAGGCCGTGAAGGCGCTTGAAGTCCGGCAGCGCGCGCACCAGGTTGCGCATGTCGGTCGGCTGGTCCCCGCCTGCCGCAAGGAGGGATACAAATTTAAACAATCAAACAGTCGAGATGCAAAGTTTAAAAAATGAAACAGTCGAGACACAAAATTTAAAAAATGAAACAGTCAAGATACAAAATTTAAAAAATGAAACAGTCGAGATACAAAAATTAAAAAATGAAACAGTCGAGATACAAAATTTAAAAAATAAAATAGTCAAGATACACATTTTAATTTTTAGCAGATGATACCTTCACACTTGAAACATACTTAAAACTACTATACACAAATGAAGGTGTCAGCGTGCTTTTACTCTCGAGTCCAGAAACCAAGCGCGTATCCTAACAATATAATAGGGGCTGGCGGCCGGGGCGGGCTGGTGTGTCTGGCTGGCTGGCTGGCGGTGAGGCGCAGCCTGCGCGGAATTCGACAATCCCTCCACGGTACAGCGCCAGCGGCACCGGGCGTAAACAATGGCACCCCCTCCTTGCATTGACAATCCCTCCCCGCCTGCCACGGCGCGGAGTATCGCGCAACAATGTCTCCCGATTCGGCCCGGCCTGGGGCACAATTTTAAATACTATCTTTGGAATGATCCCGCATACTACCCCGTATAAGAAAACCAAACGAGTATCATCTGCTTTCATTAACGTTCGTTGAATGAGATTTTTTTTTATTAAAAAAAAACCAGTCGAGATGCAAAATGAAAGTGAGCACTGACCGGCGGCCTCCTCCTGCTCCACCTCGGCCTCCGCCGCCTCTTCGCACATGGACTGCTTCTGCTTGACCAGGCGCGGCTTGCCGACGCTCAGGCTCAGGCTGGACGAGCTGGACTGCACCTGGAAACCAAAAACAAAGTCATTTCCTCGTTTGACTTTTTTGGCACTGCATCTGCCGGAAATTCATACAATATAAAAACACTGGAGTGCCGCACAGTTGGCGGCCAAAACTCTAGACGCGTTTTGAGCTTCAGAGTCGCTAAATGGAACTCGAACCGAAAGTGTGACCCCACCAATGGATTCCTCCTTCGGAGAGCAATCCATTGGTGGGGTCACACGTTCGATTCGAGTCCCATTTAGCGACTCTGGAGCTCAAAACGCGTCTGGAGTTTTGGCCGCCTCCACCGTTCTTCTGGCAAGTCCACTGTGCGTGTAGGGTTGCCTACCTGCTGGCTGCTGGCCAGGCTGCTGGGCACCCCCGGCAGCCCCGCCAGCCCCAGGGCCACGCTGGCGCTGGCCACGCTGGGGGCGCTGGCGTTGGAGGCGCTGGACCGCGACCGCACCAGGGCGCTGGGCTGCGCGTCCCGCGCCCGCCGCGGCTCCGTGCTCAGGATGTCGCTCAGCGACTTGGACTTGAGGTACAGCGGCAGCATGTCGGCGCCGTGGTCCGCGCCGTGGTCGCTCGACGGGCAGGCCAGCGTCTGGCGGCGCCCGGACTGCGACGACGCGCCCTGCCGAGCACCCGCACTCTCATCAGAACAGTTTCAAAACCCCAGTACTTACATTGGACTACGCATTTTTAGAGGTGAAAAATCAATGAGGATGTGGCTTTTGTTTGTTGATGAGTGCTAGCCGCGCGGTTTCAAAACACAGGCCGCGCCGCAACAGCCGAGATTGTAGTTATGAGGCTCGGGAGGCTTGGAAGGCTTTGGGGTCAGCCTGCCTACGGGCCGTACCGCAGCACGGCTAAGTGTTGCGGGCTGGCCCGCCGCACAGGCGCTTGCCGGCCACCGCAGCTCTCCTGGAATCCTGGCATCAACCCCCCCCCCTTCCCCCCACCTGCCACCTAAGTAGGCAAAATTTCTCACTCACCAGTGTCGAAAGGGTTGCCAACCTCAGCATGCCTACAGGGCAACTTCTCGACAGCGAAGCGACGATGTTGTACAGTAGGCAGGCTGAGGATGGCAACCCTTTCGACGAGACTGCGGTGACGTGGGTGGCCCACTTGCAGACTGATATCGAGAGTCGATTTTCTCTCTCTCTCTCTCTCTCTCTCTCTCTCTCTCTCTCTCTCTCTCTCTCTCTCTCTCTCTCTCTCTCTCTCTCTCTCTCTCTCTCTCTCTCTCTCTCACTCACTCCTGGGGCGTGCCGTATAGGTGCGAGAGAGACAGAGCGACTCACCTGCGGCGGCTCCAGGTCCTCCTCCAGGCGGCGCAGCTCGATGGGCAGGTCCTGGATGTCGCTGTCCTCGCAGCCCTCGGGCTCGTGGCGCCGCGGGCCGGGCATGTCCTTGAGGCCCTGGTGCAGGCCCTGGTGCAGGCCCTGGTGCCACGAGTCGAGGAACCAGGGCGCCGAGCGCTTGCCGCCCGCCAGCTTCTGCAGCGCGCGCCGCACGAACGAGTAGCAGGTCTCGTTGGGGGAGGACAGCGACGACGAGGACTGCGACGACGACACCGGCCGGCCCGTGTCGATGGAGCGGCCGTGGCCGCGGTGGCGGCGCCGGCGCTGCGGCCCCTCCCTCCCCGACCGGCACGAGTCCGAGTCCGAGGTCTGCGTGTACGCGTGGTACGGCGGGTGCAGGTCCTCCTCGCTGGTGGTCGTCGTCGAGGTCAGCTCCAGCGACGGCGTGCTCAGCTGCTGCGGCCGGTGCCACGGCACCAGCACGTCCTGCGACTCGAACTGAAAGCGGCGCCGATGTTTACAAACAGAGCGCCCACGTTGCTTTGGACAGTTTGCCGACGGCGCGCAGTGGGCCAGTAGACCGGAGGAGGCGGTCGAAGTCCCGGACGCGTTTTGAGCTCCAGTCGCACGTTCGGTTCGAGTCCCATTTAGCGACTCTGGAGCTCTGCACGCGTCTAGAGTTTTGGCCGCCTCCACCGGTCTTCCGGCCGGCCGTGCAGTGCCGCGTACCTTCCGGTGGCGCTGCTCCATGGCCCAGACGGTGATGATGAGCCTGCCGCCGATGCGCAGCACCCTGGCCAGCTCGCGGATGGCGGACACCCTCCTCTCCGTGGTGGCCAGGTGGTGCACCACGGCCACGGACAGCACCGCGTCGAAGCACTCGTCCCGGAAGGGCAGCGCCAGGTTGTCGCACACCAGCACCTGCCCGACGACAAGCAGACGGCCACGGCGGTCAGCCGGACGGACGGACGGACAGGCGGACAGACCGACGGCGTGACGTCATTTGTGAACGGCGCCGCGGGGCCGCGGGGTATGACGTCATGGAAGACGCGTCACGGCCCGGTCGATAGGGGAGTCGTCCCCCCACCAAGCCGCGGCGGGGCGTGGCGGGGCGGGGCGGGGCGGGGCGGGGCGGGGCGGGCTCTAGGTGTTGTAACGGGCGTATCGATGCTACGTGCCGTATAACCGCCGAACTAAGCCACCCAGTGCAGTACGCGGCAGGGCAGTACGCGTGTGCGATAGTGCGTGTGTATTTTGTCCGCGAGGAATCAACCACATAGTGGGCCAGAAAACCGGTGGGGGCGGCCAAAACTCTAGACGCGTTTTGAGCTCCAGAGTCGCTAAGTGGGACTCAAAGCTGACGCATGACCACACCAAGGGATTGCTCTCCGAATGAGGAGGGATCCATTGGTGGGGTCACACGTTCGGCTCGAGGCCCATTAAACGACTCGGGAGCTCAAAACGCGTCTACAATTTGGACCGCCTCCACCGCTCTTCTGGCCCACTGAGAACCACCCCCACGAAGATTACACGCAAAGCACGACGCATGGAAGCGCAGACACAACATCAAACACTTCTCGGAATGGCAAGCCGCGGCTGCTTCCCTTGCAGACTGATTCCGAGAGTCGCTTTCGTCGCTCTGTCTCTCTCGCACCTATGCGGGACGCCTCATGAGTGCGAGAGAGAGAAGACAGAGCGACGAAAGCGACTCTCGGAATCAGTCTGCTGATCAGACTGCGTCAGACGCACGGGGAGAAGTGCCAGACAAGCTCGGGGTCCTTGGGGTCGTCGGCCCCTCCCCTCGCCCCCCCCCCCCCAATTCCCTCCCCCTCCCCTCGAGCGCTCGCCGCGCATTGTTGTTGATCAGATCGGACCTGTGGCGCGACGACACGACGACAGCATCTCTCTCTCTCTCTCTCTCTCTCTCTCTCTCTCTCTCTCTCTCTCTCTCTCTCTCTCTCTCTCTCTCTCTCTCTCTCTCTCTCTCTCTCTCCCTCTCTCCCTCTCTCTCTCTCTCCAGCCAGACTCCTCTCCCCTAAGCGGCTTCGCGTCGCTGCCAGCAGAGCACAGCAGAGCGATTCGAAACGTCGTCTCTCTCTCGCGCGCCTCCAGGGCGCTAGGCGGCGCCCCACAATGGGCCAGAAGACCGGTGGATGCGGACAAAACTCTAGACGCGTTTTGAGCTCCAGAGTCGCTAAAGGGGCCTCGAACCGAACGTGTGACCCCACTAATGGATTCCTCGTTCGGAGAGCAAACCATTGGTGGGCTCACACGTTCGGTTCGAGTCCCATTTAGCGACTCTGGAGCTCAAAACGCGTCTAGAGTTCTGTCCGCCTCCGCCGGTCTTCTGGCCCACTGTGCGGCCTGCTTTTCCCCTTTGCCGCCTGCTCCGTCTGCTCTGCCCTGGCTCTGCCTGCTGCCGTGGAAGTGGCCGGAAATGGCACTTCTGCAGGCTGCCTCCGGAGGCGTGTCTGTCTCTCTCGCACCCGCGGGGCGGTCCGAAGGGGTGCGAGAGAGACAGAGCGACGAGGTCCTCGGAAGCAGCCTGCCGTTGGCTGCTCGCTCGCTGTGGGGCCTGAGGGGCCGCGCTAATAAGCGTCTGGCGTCTCTCTCTCTCTCTCTCTCTCTCTCTCTCTCTCTCTCTCTCTCTCTCTCTCTCTCTCTCTCTCTCTCTCTCTCTCTCTCTCTCTCTCTCGCACTCACCTCATGTTCCTTCTCTCTGGCCAGCTCCGTGAGCGACAGGCACCGGTCCACCCCGATCTTGAACACGGCCGGGTTGATGCTCAGGTACTTCCCGTTGCCGCAACCTGCGCGGAGAAAAACAGAATGCAACAATTCGGAAATCAAACAAACAAAACGAATCGAAAATGGGCGCTGGCGATACCCCGCGCGCTGCGGTTTCGGCCGTAAGGTGACTCCTGAGAGTCTCTCGCGCGCGGAGTAGCGTCCGGTGTCCCTTGTTAACGCGGCAGAGGTCACGGTGTCACGGTGTAACGACGCAGTGTCAGGTGGCGCACACCGCAAGGACCCTGCTGCTAAGACAGCACCCCGAGTCTGGAGGGGCCTGCTCAGCGTAAGCTTAGTCTACGTGTTGAGGATGAGTGGGTTTCTGGGAAGATCAGGCATGCACGCCACGTGTGCGCATGAAAAAATGGAAAACGATCACAGGTTTTTTTTTCGGTCTGGGCTCTCTTAACGCTGAAGCGTACACTTTGCGGTCCAGCCCGTAGTGGTAATGGTAATGGCTGAGCGCCTGGCGGGTAGGCAGGCCCGCGGCGTACAGCAGTGTAGCGGGCTTGCCTACCCGGCCGTCGTCGGGCGCCTGCCGCCATGCAGCGCTGTGCGGCGGGACGGCCCGACACACACACACGCACGCACACACACATATACATACATACACACACACACACACACACACACACACACACACACACACACACACACACACACACACATACAGACAACACACAACACACACATACACACGACACTCGCAGACAGTGCCCCGCATCCAGGTCGTGCAGGACTCGCCACCTTGGCCAGGCGCGACTCACCGACGTCGCAGACGAGTGCCCCCGGCTCCAGGTCGTGCAGGAACTGCGCCACCTTGGGCCAGGCGCGGCCGCTGGGCGCGGTGTTGCAGTTGCAGCTGCAGTTCCACGAGCTGCTGGCGCCGGAGATCTCCTCGTACACCTCGTGCACGTAGGCCGTCTCCAGGGCCACGGAGCGGGCCTCGCCGCCGCCGCCCCCGCCCGCCATCACTGGAACAGTAGGAGGGAACCATCTTTAAAGACACTGACGACAGCAAACTCGGTCTCTGAAAACGCCGCACAGTGGGCCAGGGGACCGGGGGAGGCGGCCAAAACTCTAGTCGCTTTTCGAACTCCAGAGTAGCTAAATAGGACTCGAACCGAACGTGTGACCCCACCAATGGATTTGCTCTCCGAACGAGGAATCCATTGGTGGGGTCACACGTTTGGTTCGAGTCCCATTCAGCGACTCTGGAGCTCAAAACGCGTCTAGAGTTTTGGCCGCCTCCACCGGTCTTCTGGCGCACTGTGGCACACACGATCTCGGTTTACTGCTGGCTCTCGCGGGTACACTGGAGGCGAGGCCAGAGGTCGTTTGCATCCCCGCGACAAGGCGAGGCCTGGGCAAGGCCCTGCTGGAGGCCATTCTCATCATTTTTAATGGAGCTGCCAATACGGTCGGGGACGAGTCGGGACGAGCGGGCATGGGGTTGGTGACTGCGCGCCCTGGTTGCAGAGCATTGCGGAGTCCCAGCGGCAACAGGTGCCTCGCCCTCCCCCTCCCCCCCCCCTTCCACCACGGCGTGACCTGGGAGGGTCGGGCCGCGGAGGTCAACGCAGTGCAGCGGTTCCCGCAGGGCGCCAACTTCAGCAAAAAAAAATTAAAGATGAAACAAATAAAAGCAAGCGAGCTGGTTGCGTGCACGGAGAAAACACCGGGGCGCTCTGCAGAGCACAACGGAGTGAAGCTCGAAAGGAGGTTCGGACGCCGCGGTGCCGATTTGGGTGAGGCAGGTCGGCGCGCGCTTTAAACTTGTTGAGAGCGAGTGGAGCCTGGCCGAGGCTGGCCGAGCGCCGACGTGTGATCCAGCTTGCCGTAGTCCCCGCGGCCCCGGGGCTGGGAGGAGCTCAGGCGGGACCAGTCGGGACGGGACCCGTCTCGGATCGACCGGCCCGGAGCAGGGCCTGCACCACCCCACGCAGCACGCAGTCCGCGGGGCAAGCAGCGGCCCCGGCCCAACCCGGCCTGCAGACTCATTCCGAGATGCGTTTTCGTCGCTCTGTCTCTCTCGCACCCATACGGGGCAGCTGTGAGTCAACGTGGTCGGCCTCCTCGTCGTCCTCGGGGACGCAGCCATCTCTGTGCAGCGCTGTGCCGCCCGCTCTGCAGTCTGCACTCGACCAACTCGAGCTCGGCAATTGCAATTTTACAGCCCAGTGGCGCAGGAAAATTTGTCTGCACGTTCCTCCCCCCCCCCCCTCTCTATCCCCCTCCCCCTTCCCCTGCCCCCTCGTGCCTTGCTGCTGCTGCTTGTGAGGGAATCGCAGTGTGGACGCGCTTCAAACATTCCAGTCCGTCTCTGTCTCCGCCAACTAGAACTCGAATGCCTTTCCCAGAACGCTAAACACTTGCAGGGACTTGGCGAAGGGAAGAGAGAGAGAGGAGAGAGAGAGAGAGAGAGAGAGAGAGAGAGAGAGGAGAGAGAGAGAGAGAGTCATCAATCACAGCAGGCGGTGCGGGGCGGCCGGCCTTTCAGGGAGAGGAGCAGGCTCACGGGGCCGAGGCGGCGCAGGCGGCCCAGGCGGCCGAGGCAGAGGCAGGCTCAGGGGGTCAACCACCCCAGGCCTCCCCGGCGCCCTCCCCGCCCCGCCTGCCCACCATTCATGGCTTTGGTGACCCACTTTCCGGAGCGATTTCTCCTCCCTCCTCTCCTGCATCGCTCCCTGTCCATTGCTCGAGAGAGGTAGTAACTTGTGGCGCGATCAATATATTAAACGGTCGGTGGTGGGAGAGGCCGGAAGTGATCAGTGGACTGAGAGTCGTTTTCGTCGCTCTGTCTCTCTCGCACGCGTGGGCCGCCCCGTACAGGTGCGAGAGAGAGCGACGAAAACGACTCTCGGAATCAGTCTGCAGTCCGCTCACATGCAGGCCGTTTTCCACTAGCATAGAACGAGTGCGGGAGAATGGGCGCGTCGCTGACTCGAATGAATGAATGAATGAATGAATGAATGAATGAACGAATGAATGAATGAATGAACGAATGAATGAATGAATGAATGAATGAATGAATGAATGAATGAATGAATGAATGAATGAATGAATGAATGAATGAATGAATGAATGAATGAATGAATGAATGAATGAATGAATGAATGAATGAATGAATGAATGAATGAATGAATGAATGAATGAATGAATGAATGAATGAATGAATGAATGAAACCATCTTATTATTATTCAATCAACCACCCCATACTCTTACGTGATATTTGTTGAGATAGGTTGGGCTACTTTGTCATCATCGCTCTTTCGGGAGCGGCGCGCCCCATTCTAAACCAACTTTGTTTTTCATTATTTCGCGCGCAGAAGGGGACAACTTGATCATTTTAACGCTTAAAAACGTTGCGAGCGAGAGGAGGAGGGAGAGCAGGTTGGCGGCGGGGCAACTTTGTGCGTTGAAGGGTGAGTCGGGTGGCGCGGGGTGTGACCACAGGGCGACGCAGGTGGGGCGGGGCGGGGCGGGGCGGGGCGGGGCGGGCGGGGCGGGACGGGGCGGGGCGGGGCGGGTCTTCCGTTGCGTCACTTCTAATTGGAGGCGGCCAGGACGTCCAGGACGACGCCACGCCGCTATCTGCCGAGGCTGTCGGGTGACTAATAGCTTCCCTGCCTTCCTTCCTACCTTCCTCGACTTGTCCTCCCGCACAGTGTGCCAGAGGACCGGTGGAGGCGGCCGAAACTCCGGACGCGTTTTGAGCTCCAGAGTCGCTAAATGGGACTCGAACCGAACGTGCGACCCCACGAATGGGTTGCTCTCCGAACCAGGAGTCCATTGGTGGGGTCACACGTTCGGTTCGAGTCCTGTTTTGCGACTCTAGAGTCCAAAACGCGTCTAAAATTTCGGCCGCCTCCACCGGTCTTCTGGCCCACTGTGCTCCGTTTCGTCCCGTCATGCCGACGGTGGCCAAACTTTTTTCATACAGAACAGCAAGCAGACTAAGAGTCGTTTCCGTCGCTCCTTCTCACTCGCACCTCCGCGGCAAGCCCTACGTGTGCGAGAGAGACAGCCGTGATGTGAGAGCGGCGGTGGCGCATGTCGTGATGACGGCCACCGTGATGAAATATACACTCTAAACGTCCCCAAGGCACGCCGCCCCGCCCCGCCACGCCCCGCACGGCATGGTGCAGTAGTTTCGTTTAAAATTGCCCAACCATTACTACCGCGCAGTGGGCCAGAAGACCAGGTCGGGCAGTCCCAAGCCTGGCCACGTGACCAGCTCTGAGTTCGCTCGCACAACATGACTCCGGGCGGATCCGTTGACGCGTCTCGGTTGGCATACTCGTGTTTCTAATCGAGAAATACTGATGGAAATGTTACATAAATATCCGCGCTCTTTGACGCACGCCTCTGGAACGTAACCAATTCGGCACCGAGGACCTCCCACCAGTGGACCAGAAGACCGGTGGAGGCGGTCGAAATCCCGGACGGATTTTAAACTCCAGAGTCACTAAATGGGACTCGAACCGAACGTGTGACCCACCAATGGATCCCTCGTTCGGAGAGCAATCCGTTGGTGGGGTCACGCGTTCGGTTCGGGTCCCATTTAGCGACTCTGGAGCTCAAAACGCGTCCGGGATTTTAACCGCCTCCACCGGTCTTCTGGCCCACTGTGTTCCCCCGAGGTCGGCCGCTGAGCCTGCTATGCCTGCTGCCGGCACCGCGTCACAGTGCAGGTGCATGTTCGATATGCCGATACGGCGCGGGGATGGGGAGGGGAGGGGGGGTAAATGTCGCCCTATCGGCCGAGAGGGGGGACTTAATGCCCTTCTTGGCCAAGACCGTGGCCAGGGAAGAAAGTGCTGCAGTCCGTTCGCCCCCCGCACCCACGGACAGGCAGACAGACTTGGAAGGACAGCTGGGGCAGAGAGGCAGAGAGGGAGAGAGAGGCATGCTGCTACCGTAGCAGTGCTACGCTGGTATGCTGCCGCATAGGTAGGCGAAAATTCCCACGACGCGCCCGTGTCGAAAGGGTTGCCAACCTCAGCACACCTACTGGGCAATATGCGGGTGCGTTTTAAGGACCTCGCGACAGGGAGGGCGATTGTGTGTATTTTGCCCACCTACAGGCCTCGAACCGAACGTGTGACCCCACCAATAGACTGCTCTCCGAACGAAGAATCCATTGGTTTGGTCACACGTTCGGTTCGAGGCCTGTTTAGCGACTCTGGAGCTCAAAACGCGTCTAGAGTTTTGACCGCACCGGTCTTCTAGCCCACTGTGCGCTCCCCTTAAACCGCGCCTGGCAATAAGTGGTATGTGCTCTCGGGAAGTTGCCTAGCAGGCTGGCTGCATTGCGGGGCTTTTTGCCTACTGGTGGCAACACTGGCTGGCTGGAGCGGGCCAGGCGGCTGGAGCAGCACGGTCTGCCGTCACTGCCGTGTTCGGTGACCTACTTCGCGCCGCCCCTCCATGCCACGGCCAGGCCAGGCCCCGCTGGGGGCTGGGGGCGTTGGGGGCGGTGAGGCCGGCCGGGCTGGGGGCGGCACGGCGGCGGTGGCGGTGGCGGTGGCCCGCCCCGAGATGCCCGGGCTAAAAGCTCGCCCCGCTTGGCTCCGGGCTTGGCTCCGCTCCGGCTCGGACTAGCTGGGACGGGCCGGGACGGGACAGGGGGCGGCATGCCCCAGCAGGCACGGCCAGGCACGCCGACCGATTTGTCATTTCCTGACCCCTGACGCCTTGGCCCGGTCGAGCCAGGCCAGGGCTGCAATTTGGCGGTCAATCTCGCCCCCGGACCGCGCCGTCGTCGCTGTCTCTCTCGCACCCACGCGGATCCCTCTGGTACACTCCACGGCTGTCATATGATTGCCCTCCACTTCGCTTCACTCCCTTAGCCCCGCTCGTCCAATCCAGAGCGCTCTTCAATTCCGTGTCACGTCAATCGCACTGCAATGTCCAACACCGGGGTGGGGGTGGCACTGCACAGTGGGCAGGAAGACCGGTGGAGGCGGCCGA